CTGAGGTATCACATGCCCCTTATGCTAGATTAGCAGTCATTTTACAAATTCACTGGCAAAATGTTGTTGCCTATATTTTAAAAGCCATTCTCTACCCCATGGCTTTGATTTAGTAGTAGTTGAAAGTCTAGCTCAAGTTGTAAAAGTGAAATGCTTCCTAATATAGTCTAATGGCTCTTTTGGAGAAATAGTCTCCTAGAATCTTCCATGATGTCTTCTGTTTTCTCCTGAATGCAGCAGGAGGAGAAACATTTCAGTAGTTATTAGAAAACCTCAAGCACGTGTGATGTTCCATGTTGTACTAAATTTACAGGTGTATATTTGTACTTTGTTTACAGGTCTCACTGTCTCTAAGCCCCACCTAGTCACCTGTCTGGAGCAAAGCAGAAATCCCTGGAATGTAGAGACACAGAAGAGAGCAGCCATACCTCCAGGTAGGTAGGAATGGATGAACCAGAACACACAGGTGAGAGATCCAAAGGCCAAGGATGAAGCCATGGTTCATCACTTTTAGTGTCTCAGTACGTGTATGCTATACATTAATTACGTTCATCATGGGGAGTTGATACATAGACGTAACACAACTTTTTATTTCCCCTTGCCCTCTCCTCCCACTCCCCTCCACCCCGCATCCCCTTCCCATTTGCAAAAGTTCTATCTCCATTATGTCTTTAATTTTGCTCTTTTAATTATTTATTGTAAGAGAAGCCATATAATATTTTATCTGGTGTGCATGATTTATTTCATTAAACTTATAGCCTCAAGCCACATCCATTTTCCTACAAATGACACAACTTTACTCTTTATAGCACAGTAGCACTCCATTGTGTGTATATACCATCTTCATTGTCCGTTCCTCTGTTGATGGGAATATAGGCCACTTCCAAGATTTATGAATGGTGCTGCTATAAGCATGGGTTAGCATTGATGACTAGAATATAATGTCCTTAACTCCTTGGGGAAGAATCTAGAAGGAGAGTAGCTGGGTTGGATGGAATTTGTAGTTTTAGTTTTTGAGGAATCTACATAATGATTTCTATCCTTGAGAATTTTTTGGAGTACTGGTTCAGTGGTCATGAATTTCTTAAGGTACTCTTTGTCATGGAAAGTCCTTATTTCTCCACAATGTTGAAAGAGTTTTGTAGAACATATTAGTCTGAGTTGTTTCCTTTTATAGCTTGAAGCACTTCACTCCTGGCCTTGAAGGTTTGTGTTTGTGTTGTAATTCTAATGGGTTTATCTTTATCAGTGACTCATTGCTTTTCTCTAACAACTTTTAAGATTCTATGCTTGTGTTGGACTTTAGAGATTTTTTACTATCTCATGTCACGGAGAAGTTATTTTCTGGTCATGAGTATTTGGGGTTCCATATGTCTCACTTACCTGTATTATTGAATTCTTTCCCATTCTTGGAAAGTTTTCTGCTCTGATTTCTTTATATAGATTTTCTGTGCTATCCCTGTCATCTAATTTTTCTCTAATTCCAGTTGGTCTTAGTCTTCTTTAAGTCATCTGGCAGCTATTGGGTCCATTTTTCATGATCTCTTGCTTTTAAGCTATCTCTGAGATACGATCACCAACATCAGCCCTGTCTTCTAGACCTGACACTGACCACACGTTGTTCACTTCTGCTGCCCGTACTGTCAGCTGAATTTCTGTGTGGTACCCTATTTTGAACTGTAATTGTTTGATAAACTGTTCATGTTTTGAATCATTTTCATTATCTCAGCTAGCTTTTGGTATGATCTTTAAGCTCACTCATAATTTTTATTAATTTATCTGCTTAGTTATGCTGTCTTTGAGCTCATCTAGCACCCTTTTTTCTTC